TACCCCTGCACTTTTCACCTCCTTTACTGCTTCTGCATATGACATTCTCTTCTCTGTTTTTAGTTTTTGAATTTCTGCTGCTTCTTTTCTCACCATACACCCTGCATATGCTGCAGTATGATCTCCTCCACAGTTGCAACATCTTATCGGCTTCTCTCCACACTCCCCATAAGAATGTTCTCCTCCACACCTACCACATCTTTGCTTCCCATTACATACTTTTGCTGTGTGTCCATATCTCTGACACTTGTAGCATCTCATCGGTGGAGGAATATAATTCCTAACACTGAAACTCAAATATCCAATCATTATTTTATCTGGTTTTTCTTTTCCTTTAAACTCTAATAGCACAGAAGTGCTATCCACTCTTTCTCCATTTCTAAAAGCCTGCAGTCGTCTGATATTTGTCACTTCTCCTCCTTTTATGACTTTCTTTAACTCATCCAAGTTTTCTCCTAATGGAATCCCTGATATTACCCCTTTTATTCCTCTCTCTTCTCCCATTATTTCCCTCTCCATTACTTCTCTTTTACAAATCGACTGTATTTTTAACGCTTTGTTCTTTTGTTCAGCATTTTTACAGATAATCAACAGGCTTCCATCTCTTAGCACTTTAGCTAATTCCACCTCTCCAATTACTTTCTTTAGACCAATAGATAGCGTGATTGGACTCACTCCTGTCAAATCCTGCACAGCTCTGAATTTCAAAATTACCTTGAACTCCTCCATCATTACTTTCTTTCGTGTCTCAACGTTTTCCTCCTCATCTTCGAGAGATCTTTTTCCTGTATTTATCCCTTTCTTGCCCTTATCTTTTCCTCCTCCCCCTTTCTTATTTTCTACCACCGACCAACTTGTTTCCATTCCTTCATCCTCTGAGCACCCTCCACTACTACTAGCCATCTTAGTCCACTCACAGTCCAGATTATGCCTTTAAACCGCTCTTCCACTTCTTAGCTTCTCGTGACCGAACCACGCTCCGTCAGAGTTGCTGCTTGTTCAAACACCGCGCC